TCACCACTGCACAACACAACAGGGTGGAGCTGCTTTGTGTCGCCCAGGTGGGGCAGCAGGTGCAGAATGGCCTCTGCTGGCTGTCTACATGTCTCTGAGGGGAGAAATCTGTCCCCTCCTCTGCCCTGGGTGCGAAGAGCACCCCGAGCTCCTCTGTGACAAGAAGCACTGCGCAGAAGTCATCATGACCACCACACCACGAGCAGACTTCTCACTCAGATGAGACTCAAGTCATGCTGCTCTACCGCCGCCATCGGGGAGATGCAGTTCTACTTCCCACCACCAGGTGGCGCCTCCACTGCGGCAGCCCAGGCGTTAGCCCCCCCTCCGCCCCTGCAGCCCCGAGGGGCAGCAGGATCGCATTACCACTCTCCTTCCTGCTACTCTTTCCTTTTCTCCTCTCCGTTTGTTGTTGTGTAAAACTAGCAACAGCGAGCGGCCGCGCCCGGCCCCGGGGCCCCAGCAGCAGGAGCGGCCCGCGCCCCGCACCCCTCCCCGGGCTGTCAGCGCGGAGGGGGGAGCACCGGCCAGTGTCCAGCGGCCGGGTCTCCCAGAGGGGCCTCCGCAGCTCCAGGCGCATTCCTGACCCACTTTCCCCCTCCCTCCTCCTCCTCCTCCTCGGCAGCAGCGGTGGAGGAAGGACAAACGGCACGGCGCTAACCTTGCGGGGTGTTTCTTGCTACGGCGCCGGTTCCGTGAGGAGCGGTGCTGCCCCGGGCCGGGCCAGGCCACGAGGAGCGGCGAGCCCACCGGCTCAGGCCAAGATAAGCACTGTGCTAACAGCAAGACAGGCAGACAGATAGAGAGAGAGACAGGCAAGGACAGCGAGACAGGCAGACAGAGAGAGAGAGAGAGAGACAGGCAAGGACAGGGAGACAGGCAGATAGAGAGAGATAGACAGGGAAGGACAGGGAGACAGGCAGATAGAGAGAGAGAGACAGGCAAGGACAGGGAGACAGGCAGATAGAGAGAGAGACAGGCAAGGACAGCGAGACAGGCAGATAGAGAGAGAGAGACAGGCAAGGACAGGG